GAAAATGTTTTTTCTCTTTCGTTGGCTGTTCGTATTGATCTAGTACGTTTTTCTTTAAAAGAAATATAAAAATGCATTTCATAATTCAAAAATGTATAGTTTTGATGAAAAATCTGTTGTCTTTAAAAACAATTTATATGTTCTACTGAAGAAATATCTACTTTCTGCGCTTATAGTCTTACTGTATAACAATTGACATAAAAGACACTATTTCCCAAAATGAGGTTATGTTTTACTTAATGACAAAAAATTTATTTTATTCTTTTAAAAGGGTAAATTTGCTATAACAGAATTATCATATATAAAAAACGTTATATTCTAGTCATTATAATATCCAGGTTGAAAAAATTTTCATGTAATTCAGAAAACGAAGATTTTTCTACATATTCTTCTTAGCTTATTTTGGTTATTATGATTTTCTTTAAAAAAAAAAGGGGGGGGGAGGTGCTTAAAAAATAAAGAGTGCTTGATATACCAAACCAAGTATTGTAAATTAAACACTCACCATTAAACACCTCATTAAATTCTCCAGGAGGGGCATGAATGATGAATTTTGCTGCTATACGTACCTAAAATAGAAATGAAGATATAAATGTTCCATAACGTAGGCCACTGCAAAATAATTTAAAAAATGCAAAATTATACTATTTCAAAGTTCTATTAAAAACAGCTGAGGATTTTAACGACAGTGACACTTCTTCACTCAAACACCTTAAGTTTACTACTATTTCAATCATTTAATATAATCACAACATACAAGCTGAATGTAGATAAAATATATATTAATAAATGCAGTTAAAGATTCAAAGCTGCCTACAGATAAACATTTTCTTACAAGCAATTTTCTTTCTTTTAAACTAAAGTAAAAAAAATCACAAAAATTTGTATGTATAAAGAAATAAGATGCATTTAGGTACAACGAAGAAAAATGATATATTTACGTGTCTATAAAGTCACATATTAGTGAAAAATGTAGAAAGGAAGAGGGGAAGAAAGGTCTAAGTTCAAAAGGTTTTAACATGAGACCTGAGTAGACCTTAGGAAATTTTAGTTCAGAGATAAGTAAGAGATAAAATATCCACAGGTATACTGACAGATCTATTTTAAGAGAATAAAGGATATTCTGATAAAGAGGTTTATCACTAATGAAAATGTATCTGAAAGGTTAAATGACATATCCAACATTACAGTTTAGTGAAGGAGCCTTAAGTACTTATAATAGTTTTCCAACCACACTATATGGTAACCTTTTAATAGGTTGAAGTTGTGGTCCTGAAAGTGTAGTCTTCAAACAAGCAGCCTCAGCAAAAATCCAAATTCACAGGCCCCCTCCCAACCAACTGAATTGGAATCTCTGGAGATGGGGCTGAGAAACACTATATAAACAAGCTTTCCAGGTGATTTTCATGTACATTCAAGTATTCCCTGAATTAAGGGACCATCCTCGGCAAAAATGAAAGCCTTGATTTACATTTCCCACTTTGATAGAACTATTACTGCTTTGATGTAGAAACTAAAAATAATGGGAAAAAAAGGAAATGGTTATATTTGTTTGTATATAAGTTATGTGCACGTGTGCATACATTTAACTACAGATACAGTTTTTCAGAGGAGACAGGTCAAACAGAGGTACAGACAGCTAGAATGAAGATGTTCCTAGTTAGAGGTCATGGGAATGACAAGGCTTTCAAAAGGTTAGAAAAATGTCTATTTAAAACAAAATGAACTTTTGTAGTCTGGAACACTAAGAAGTTTGAAACAAAAACCATGATTGTTGTGGGATACCACTGATGGACAATGATGAAGATGATAACAAAAATGGTATTTAAATTAGTGCTTAGCAAGTACTTTATATCATTTACTCTTCACAACAATCCTAACAAGTAGTTACTACCTTATCTGCACATTTATTTATATGAGGTAACTGAAGCAGGGGAGGTGAAGTCACTGTCAGTCTGATTCTGGAACCTAAAGTTTTCATCATATTATGTTGCTTCTCAAGTTCAAAATAGTTTGCTAGAATGTGTGAAATTCTACCAAAGATTAAGATGGCAGAATGTGATAATGCAACCACCAAACAACTGCTTCAATACAAACCTTTTTTGATATTTAACATGTCAATAGCAGTAACTTAAATGAAAGGGACAAATTTCTTGAAAGACACAAAAAACAAAGTTCACTGATGAAATAGGTAACCTGAAAAGTTCTGTATCTATTAAAGAAATTGAATTTGTAGTTAAAAGCCTTTCAACAAAAAAAAAAACTTCATGTTTTCTTATATCAAATGTTTAAGGAAGAAATAATACCAATTCTACATGAATTATTCCAGAAAACAGAAGTGGAGAGAACATCTTCCAATTAATTTTAAGAGAATGGCATTACTGTATCCTATACTGAAACCAAAGTATTACAAGAAACAACTCAGACAAAAATCTCTCATGAACACAGATGCAAAAATCTACAATATTAACAAACTGAATCTAGCAATAAATTGAAAGGATACTATATCATGACCAACTGGAGCTTATCCTGGAAACGCAGGTCTGTTTTAATATTCAAAAATCAATGACAGCAATTCATTATAGTGACCAACCAAAGAAGAAAAACTATATGATCATCTCAACAGATGCAGAATAATTATTTGACAATGTTCAACATCTAATCATGATAAAAAGCTCTCAGCAACCCAGGCAAAAAGGGAATGTCCTCAATCTTATAAAAAGCATCTACAAAAACCCATGCAGCCAACATCATCATTAATGGTGAAAGACTGTATGCTTTCTGCCTAAAATCAGGAACAAAACAAGAATGTCTGCTTTCACCACTCCTACTCAACTGAAGGTTTCAGCCAGTGCAATAACAAAAAGAAATGAAAGGCAGATGGATTGCAAAGAAAAAACCAAAACTTTCTATTTGCAGACAACATGATTGTTTTTAATAAAAATCCTAAGGAATCTAAAAAATAAATACAACAATTAGGTACAAATCTAACAACATATGTGTAGGATTAGTATGCTTAAAACTACACAGAACATGGATGAAAGAAATCGAAGACCAGCTAAACAAATGGAGAGATGTGCTATATTTATGGATTAGAAGACTCAATATTGTGAAGATACCAATTTTCCCCAAACTACTCTACAGATTCAGTGCAGGCCCAATCAAAATCCAAGCAGGATTTTTTTTTTTTTGGGTATGCATCAACAAGCTAATTCTAAAGTTGGTACATTTTCTATACTACTTTTCTATGTTTGAAGAATGTAATGAATGAAGATAATTTCGGTCACATATTAATACCACCCCCACTGAAGCAAGATCAAAGCATCACTCAGATGCCCAAAATAATAACACACATACACATAATCCATGGTATTTTTTTTAAGATTCTGATTATGAAATAGATGAGGAAATAAAATATATGTTATTTTGCACCCTTAATAGTAAATGTAAAGTAGTAAAGGCAAAGGAACTAGAATAGCCAAAACAACTTTGAAAAAGAAAAACAAAGCAGAGGACTCACAGTATCTGATATAAAGTTATAGTCATCAAGGCCACGGGTTTGGTGAAAGGAGAGACAATCAACGGAAAAGAGCTGAGAATCTAAGTTCAACACACACGCACATATACGGCAAAATGACTGCTGACAAAGGTACAAAGGCAATTTATCGGAGAGAGGACATATTTTAACAATTGATAATCAAACAATTAGATATCCATGAGCAAAAAGAATGAAACTTAACCTTAACTTCATACTTTATACAAAAAATTAACTCAAAATAGATCATAGCTCTAAATGTAAAATATAGAACTAAAAAAAAAGCATTAAAAAGAAACTGAAGAAAATCTTCATGATCTAAGGTTAGTCAAAAATTCTTAGACATTATGATATTGTGAAATACATATATGGTCTTCGACCTGAGTTTCCGGGCATATAGCAAATCCTCAGAAACTCTTTTGTATGCTAATGAGCTGACGAATAGCTGGCAGCCCCTAGGTAGCTTTAGGATGGGGGCTGGTCACCAGAAAGTCCAAGGCAGGATTAGAGAGTTGGAGCTTTCAGCCCACCCCCTAATGTCCTTTGAGAGAGGCTGAAGTTTAAGTAGATCACCAATGGCCTATGGCTTAATCAATCATGCCTATGTAATGAAGCCTCCATAAAAACCCAACAGAACAGGGTCTGGAGAGCTTCCAGATAGCTAAGCATGTGGAGGCTCCTGGAAGGTGGTGTGCCCAAGAAGGGCGAGGAAGCTCTGTGTCCCTTCCCCCATGCCCCGCCCTATGCATGTCTTTCTCTGTATCCTTTCTAATCTTTCTAATATCCTTTATCATAACCGGTAAACATAAGTGTTCTTCTGAGTTCCATGAGCTGCTCTAACATACTAGAACCCAAGGAGAGGGCTGTGGGAACCCAGATTTATAGCAGGTCCCTCAGAAGTTCTGGAGGCCTGGACTTGTCACTAGTGTCTGAAGTAGAGTGAGGGGCAGTCTTAGGGACTGAGCCCTCAACCTGTGCGATCTGACACTGTCTCCAGATAGATAATGTCAGAATTGAATTACAGAACACCCAGCTGGTAACCTCTGCAGAACTGATTGCCTGCTTGTTGTGGCGGGGAACCCAACACATTTGGTCACAGAAGTCTTCTGTGTTGACTGTTGTGTTGAGTGAGAAAACAGAAAAAATGGTTCAAGTTTATGTTTTTTCCACACAGACATGATATCAAAACTGTGATCCATTAAAAAAAATTGATAAGCTGGACTTTACCAAAACTAAAAACTTTCTCTATGAAAGACTTTTGCTCTGTTAAGCGAATGAAAAGACAAGCTACAAACTGGAGAAAATATTAGCAAATTACATATTCAACAAAGGACTTGTATCCAGATTATATAAACTACTCTCAAGATTCAACAGCAAGAAAACAGTAAGCAAAAGACTTAAATAGACACTACACCAAAGAGAATATACACAAGACCAGTAAGTGCACAAAAGATGTTCAATACCATTAGTTTTATGGAAATGAATACTGAAATCATGAAATACTACTACTTACCTAATAGAATGGCTAAAATAAAAAAGACTGATAACAGCAAGTGCTAGTGAGGATGCAGAACTGGAACTCTCATACATTTCTGTGGAAATGCAAAATTGTACAACTAGTATGGAAAACAATTTGGCTATTTCTCATACAGCTAGGCACACGCAACATGATACAATAATCCCATTCCTAGGTATCTACCCTACAGAAATACAAACTTACGTTCACACAAAAATTTAGTCATAATCACTAAGTTATGAAACTAGAAACAATCTACAACCCAAATGTCCACAATTGAGTGAATGGACAAATAAACTGTGGTACACCTACACGATGAAATACTATTCAGCAATAAAAAGGAAAAAGCTATTAATATATGTAACAACTTAAATGAATCTCAAAAGCATTATAGCGAATGACATAAATCTCATCCGGTTACACAGTAATAGTATAGGATTCCATTTACATGACACTCTCAAACAAACAATATTGTAGCAAGGAAGAACAGATCAATGGTTGCCAGAGGCTGAGGGTTA